AATAACCGAGTTCTGCCAATTTTTGTTCGAATTTAATTTCATATCCTTTACAAACTTTTTGTGGGATTTTAGCACGGATTTTTTTACCAGATTTCTAGCAAGTAATCCTTTTTAGTTTGTTAATTGTATCAATCTGTATAGATATGATATGATAAGACCGATTTTTTTTAAAAGAAAATCTGTTTAACTTTGATTATTTGGAATATTGTTAACAAATCAAACCAAATTTGTGGGATTCCTTTATGGTCTAAAAACGCTTACACGATATTTCGTTTCCAAATATATCGGATCTGTGACCAATTATTCCTTTTTATCTACTTTTTGTATCAATCTCGATCTCAATTTTTTATCTGATTTGTGATTCGATTTTGAATTTCCATTACCAAAACCGTGCATATCAAAATCAATATCAATATTTCTGGGATTTACGTTAATCATAACAATATCATATTTATCGGAAAGTATCCATATATGTGGGATTTACGTTAATCATAACAATATCATATTTATCGGAAAGAATCCATCAATCCCGTGAGTGCCCCATCGCCATACATACAACCTCTTTATAAACACATCCATCCTTGCACAACAAAATATCGACATACAATACAATCCACGATACATTTTTTAAGAACAAGCTTTTACAACACCATTCACAATGCCTTTGGGTTTTGGATTCATCAAGAATATCGATAGATCCAAAAAGCCACCAATCAAGCTACGCGTAATTAGAATGTTCCAACGAGTTGAAGATATACACAATTACCGAAATGTTCTTGAGATCATCTTTCACGATGAAGAGGTAATATATTTGTTTTTATTTATTTGAATTTAAATTAAATTTGAATTTAACCGTAAATTATAATATAAAATCCAATGCATAATGCTATGCGACATATTTTATGCGTTTATTTAATAATAACCTATTCAGTATCTTATTGCCTTAGGCCTTACGGATTACGGGCATTATTCGACCTGTCAATATCAAGAAATTCATCGACAATATTGAAGAAGGTGGCTCTTATATCTTGACAAATTATCAAGTTGAGAGTAATATCGGTATCTACAAATCGACGATAGGAAAATGGAGGATCATTATCCATGGCCATACGAAGATTGTCAAATGGAGGGGTGATTTCCCTATGTATCGTTTTGACTTTAGAAACTTTCTAACTTTGATGGATGTTCGTAATATTGAGGAAGCCATGTTGTTTGGTACGTGATAAATTTTGTTTTTAATATTTCGTTTCTTTTTTTTTTATTATTATTTTTTATTTAAAATCCAATGTAATAAACTGATTTTATATTTTTGTAGATATCAATGGATTGGTTGTTTCAATCCAACCTATTCAAATGAAAGTTGTCAAGGGAGTTCCTACCCAAATGATATCGTTCTCTATAATGGATTTGGAGTAAGAATCTTTAGTCTTATATATTCATCTTTTATAAAATCACACGTATTTTTAATACTATAGATATAATAATAAATTTATTTATTCGTAAATAAATAATTTGATATTATATCAAATTTATATAAAATTTTCTCGACATTGTATAGGGGAAATGTAAAGGAATGCACTGTTTGGGGCCGATATGTTGATCAGTTGATTGCTTTGGAGCATCATTATGAAAATGAGAAAACACCTTTTGTTATCATAATGCAAATGTGTCGTGCAAGAGAGTGGAGAGGTCATTAATTATTTTAATTCACCATTTTTTCATAATTAAATCGATCATTGGCTTAATACTACTTTTTTGTTACGAAATTTTTTGTAATAGGTAATGTTCAAATAAGCACTTCAAAGGACGTGACCATGATCATTGGTGTGGATATTCCGGAAATTGAAGATTTTCGAAGGAGGTACATTTTTTTCTGATACAAAAGAACTTCGATTCCTATATGCATTCGTATTCTATTTTAACATGTTTTTGTGTTAATGTATAATAACAAGTCTGTCGATGAGTAATCTTAAGGATACCAAATTGGTTTCAAGTAGCTCAATCATTGTCAAGACCGAATTACAAGAGCTAGATGATGGTGACGTCGTAGTTAATTCGGTTGATTCTCTATTTGAGTGTCTTGGGGCAATAGAGATTATAATTCATTTATTTTCCACAAATAAATCAATACACTAAATTTATATTAATTGAATTAATTAATTTTGTAGCCAATGGACACTTGGGTTTGTGCAACTGTGGATTCCGTTATAGACCATTGATGGTACCTTGCATGTGTGCGATGCAATTCCTAAATGGAAGATGACAATGGGAATTATTCGTGTCGGAAGTGCTCTCACAATCGCGGCACATTTCGGTTTGTTACTTGTAATCATATTATTAACTGTTTATTATATTCGTATTTTATTAATTACTTTATCATTTATTTAAAAAATCTGGATTTTATTTCATATGTAGCTATAAAATTCAGTTTGGGGTTTCTGATGCTACTTCAAGTGCAACCTTCGTTTGTTGGGATAAAGATTGTCAAAATATTATTGGGAAAAGTTGTGAAATTTTGAAACGTGAATTTGCCCAAAAGGTAAATTATGTTTTATCTTTGCCATCTTTAATTATTATTATGGATCTTTTACCGCCCCAAACATAATGAATTTTTTTCATTATCACAGAAGAAACCCATTTTCGATCTTCCCGACGAACTTGAAGAGTTGCAAGGGAAGTCATATCTCTTCAAGATTCGCATTAAGGAAAATGACCCCAACAACCAAAGCTCCACATTCTCTGTTATTAAAGTTGTCGTTGACAATAACTTGGTTTCCAAGTATAGTCAATTTGTTGTGGAGTATGATGTAAGTAAATTTTGTATTTGACTATTTGATTATAAACTTGATTCCTAATTTGGTTATGTATATTTAGATTATAATTAACTATATAATGTAATTATTGTTGACACCTTTGTATTATTTTTTTCCACAGAATTCTAATTTCCTAACTCTCTTAGGACGAGAAGAGGCTGCTAATGGATTGGTAAATTATGCAATCGAATTTTTTTTTTTTTTTTATTTTATTCAATCATTCTCGATCATTATAATATTTCTTATATCATGTTAATATTTTTAAATTAAATTATTGTAGGATCCCATGTTTGAAGATGAGGCTTCTACCCCGCTCAAGGTTGTTGAACCCAATGATGTGGTGGCGGACAATTCAATTGCTAAACGCAATCTAAGTGATCAATTTGCTGTTGAGTCCGTTACAAGCAATAAAGGGAAAGCAAAAGTTGATGATGATGGAAATTTGATCGAGGACAAAGAGGAAGGATGTGATGAGCATGGAGTTTAAGAGAGTTTTTCTATTAGATAATGTTTTTATAAGTTAATCGGTTTATTTAGTAGTTTGTTTTGATATACATTTTATATTTTATATTTCTTGGGATTTATGTTCTAGGTTGCATAAGTTTAAGGTTTTTCATTCATTCAAATAACATTTGCAGCCTCTAGGTAACATATAGTTGCCAAGGTTATTCGTAATCTTTTTTAATATAATTTGGTTGAATATATCAATAATTTTATTTGTGTTAATTGAGTTATTCGTTTCAGTTTTTCACATGAATGCTGTTAATATTTGATAATTCAACGAGTTGCATTGTTAAAGTCAAATCAATGTTTAAACTTACAGTTTTGTATGTCTTAAAATATTCATAATATGTTTGTTTATACTTAGATATAGAGTTATTCGTTTCAGTTTTTCACATGAATGCTGTTAATATTTGATAATTCAACGAGTTGAATTGTTAAAGTCAAATCGATGTTTAAACTTAAAGTTTTGTATGTCTTAAAATATTCATAATACGTTTGTTTATACTTAGATATAGAGTTATTCGTTTCAGTTTTTCACATGAATACTGTTAATATTTGATAATTCAACGAGTTGCATTGTTAAAGTCAAATCGATGTTTAAACTTAAAGTTTTGTATGTCTTAAAATATTCATAATACGTTTGTTTATATTTAGATATATAACATTATGTACAAAATCTAAAATCTAGATGGTAAGCGTGAATGAATGTTGGCACATTTTATTGAAAATCTTGATATTTATTTTAATTTTTTGATTAATAAAGTCCATAATATAATCGTTTACTAAAGGTTGTTATAGAAATAAATATATCTACTAAACAAATTGATTATCCGATAAGCATTACAATTTGATAAGCATTAGAGAAAAAAGGAGTAAAAATACAGATTAATGATTTAATTGTAATCTAATCAACCCATAATACTATAGGTTGTTATATTACTACAGATATAGATATCTACTACACATTTTGATTATCCGATAAGCATTATAAAAATATCTCTTTTAGATAAATATTAATCATTTGATTGGAATCTAATAAAACAACGTATCTAATATAAGGTAATCAATTGATTAGAATCTCCTACACGATAATGGATTCATAGATATATATATGCCGATAGAGATAAAGACAAATACTTATCCGATAAGCATTACAATAAAATCTCTTACAGATAAAAACTAATGATTTAATTGTAATCTAATCTAATCAAACTAAATATCTAACGTAGAGTAATTAAAGTTAAAAAATATCCTACGCGATTTTTACTCAACCCAAATATTCTCGCAGATACAAACGAATCTAAGGTTGTTATCTATAAGATTCTATATTCTATATAATCAATGATATATATATCCAATGATAATATCAAATATGCGAGAATGATTCTACTCCAAACTTGAACAAGGATAATAGCAAATCTTTGATATTGCAATTACCGAACAATTGCATCAATAAAAGAATATAAATATATATTATATATTATATTCTATAGATTTTATCTTATATATAAAATATATAAAATCTATCGATATCATTGGAACATTAATATATCAAATCTTTAATATATTCATTGATTCATCCGATATCTATAAATACCTCAACCATAATATCAGCCCATGCAGTTATCAATCTCCATAAAAAATATTTTAGCGAGAATATACAATCCAAAAAAAGAAGAAAACATGGATCAACCATTTGGCTTAATCCGACAGATTCAAAGGAGTAAGAGATTCATGCTAAAACTCCGAGCAATTCGTATCTTCGAAAAATCATTTGATTCCAATTATCGAAGACAATTGGAGATCGTATTTCATGATGAAGAGGTTATTGTAGTGTTAATTATTAAATTGTTCAATTACTATGTTTCTTAATGTGGTCTTTATACTAATGTTTATTGTTTCTTAGGGGACTCGCATTAGTGGTATTATCCGTGGCATTCATTTATCAAAGATGGTGGGCTATTTCCACGAATGTGGCGTATATAAAATCCAAAACTACTATTTAGACAGCAACATCGATAAGTATCGATCTACTGCTGCAAAATACAAACTCCTTACTCATAGCGATACAAAGGTTCTAGAAATGCACGCATACTTTCCTTCGTGGCATTTTCAATTCCGTAGCTTTGATGACTTTCAAGATGTTGAGAATGTTAATGAATCTTATCTTTTTGGTAATTTTTTTAATTTATTGTCAATTTGTATTTTACATTAATTATTTTATTGATTATTATCATAGATATCTTAAATTAACGTTTCAATTATATACAATGTTGATGTTATTGGTATGGTGATTGAAATTCATCCTGTTCAGTCTAAATGGGTTCATGGACAAAAAAGCCAAATGATTGTCTTTTCACTCATGGATTTAAAGTAAGTATATATATCAAATGCCACGAATTGTGAAAGGAATTGTTGTTGAGAATATATTATTAATCCACAATTTCTCTTTTCAGTGGAATTGTTATTCAATCCACACTCTGGGGTCATTATGTTGACCAACTCATTGCTTTTGAAACTCACTTTGAGTCCGAAGCAACTGGTGAACCGGGGTGCTAATTATGCAGCTTTGTTGGGTACGATTTTGGGAAGGTATATGCGAGTTATGTTTTTTTTTTTTTTTTCGAAACGATAGAGGTATTATATAAATACGCACAAATGTGCAAAAGTACAGCCACCAGCTGAATACAAACAGCCAACAACTGAATACAAACAGCCAACGACTGAATAAAATGGGAGGACAGGTCAAAAGACCCCCTAGAACTGACCCCAACGGGGTAATACTCGAAAAACTCAAAACACGACCGACACTAAAAGCTCCCAAGGGGAGAATAAAAAGAACAAAAGGAAAATAAAACGACCCCAACAGGGTAATGCCCGAGTGTGGGATCCCAACAGGATAATAAGGTCACACTCGGGCTCACAGGGGCCAACGGCCCAAACAAAAAACACAGTACATAGGCACACAGGCACACAGGCAAAGGCCCAACCCAAACACCAATCTGCTGCACAAGTTAAGAAAAACAAAACAAAAGGCCCTTTCGCAGCAAATCAGTCGGCTCTAACCAGTGGAGAACCACGATATCAAAGAATAATCCGAGTCTGGGAATGGCTTCCGAAACTGCCACAAGCCTATACAAGAAGTCTAACCCGAACACAAACCAATCTCCGAAATGACCCGCCTCGTCCTGAGGGACAACCGATCCACACCCGCTCTAGCACCACCCGAGCACGCCTAACACCACTAGCCGAGCGTAGGAGCACTAAGACCCCGCCGTCTAACACCACTAGACTAAACAGGGAGGGGCGGCTCGGCCCTCAACTCCGAATACTATCAGAGCCCCGCCCCGCCTCTCGAACCACAAATCAGCCAAATCACCACATACTACCCGGCATCATGGATGGAAAACCCCCAACAGAGTCCTGCCGAAAAGCTGAACCTCCCGAGGCCCACCTTCTCATATGCACAAATAAACAGATTCAGCGCATAAGTAAAATTGGAAGAAGAAACACCTTCAATCGAGACAGACGAGCACACGACGCCTCCTATTGCAACCAATTGAAGGCCAGAGAGCTCGTCGTCTCCTCCAATTGCAACTTCACCTGCGAAACGAGGAAGGGCAGACCAACCGTTGCCAGTAATCCGCGGTGAATCAGGAAGTCCGGGACAACAGAGGAGGTACAGCGGTTGAGTGCGACCACCGGCCGACGCCGCACCGCTGCTGAGGAAGGTTGCACGATGACGAGAGAAGACGCTAGGGTTTACTGTTTTGGGGGAAGAAGAGAGAAACGGGAGCGTTTGCGAGTTATGTTTTAATTTGGGCAAAATTAAATGTACATTAATTAATTATGTTTACTGAATTTTTAAAATATATTAATGTATTTTTTTATTTGTATTTATATTTATATTTATATTTATATACAACAGATGAGGTTCAATTGGCTACCCATATGAATGTCACCCGTCTACATGCTGTTGCACCATTTCCAGATTTGATTGATTTTCGGCGGAAGTAACTATTACATTTATTATATTCGATTTGCATATATCATATTATTTTATTTATATATACATGTTATACAACATATTATATTTAAATAGATTTTTTATATTATCTAAATATTGTATATATTATGTGTACAAATTTTCAGCAAGCCCATGGGCCAAGAAGAGTAAATATGTCACCAATAGCAAAATTGTTTTGAAGAGTGAAATGGAAGAGCTAGAAAATGGTGATTTGGTTGTTAGTTCTGTAGATTCTCTATTTGACTCTGACGAGGTATTATTTATTAACTATATTACCTAAAGTTCGGTAAATTACTATAGATTTTTTTACCGAACTTAATTCTTATGCACCTATTTATTTGTTTAATTTGTTTAATGTAATATTAGGAGATCAAATGTTGGGTATGTGCTACAATTGATTCAATTGTGGACGAATAGTGGTACCTCACATGTAATCGTTGCAAAGGCAAGATGGCTGATGAAGATGGGAAATTAAGGTGCACCATATGTGCCCATAATAAAGGCGTTTTTAGGTATGTATACTAAGAAAAAGGTAATTTAATATTTGATGAGTAATTATAATTTACTAAATTTTCTAACTTATCAATTCCTTATTTTACTCTATATATTCATAAATTTTAATTTCAGATATTAGAGTAGATATATTGATTACAATTATATTATAAAATCTTCAATGAAGGTACAAAATTCGTTTGATTGTGTCGGATGCAACATCAAGTGCAACATTCATTTGTTGGGATATGGAATCTGAAAAGATTATTGGAACACCATGTGAGGTCTTGAGAAATGAATTTCTTTGCGAGGTACGAAAATCTTATATATCCTTCTTGAAATAATTTGTTTAATTAACTTAATCTGAGATTGATATTTTAAAACATGTTCTTAAACAGCATCCCAATAGCTTTGAACTTCCTGAGGACGTGTCTAATTTAGTGGGTAAGACGATCCTTTTCAAGGTTCGTGTATATCCAAAAAATCCATTAGGGTATGCTGCTTCATTTCCAGTCGTAAGAGTTGTTGCTAACGAAACTTTAGTCTCCATGTACAACCAATGGTTCGTGGAGAATGAGGTAATCAAATAAATGTATAATATAGTTAATATACATACATGTTTATATAAATTATTTGTATGTAGATATTGAAATAATAATTAAATATAGATTTATATAAATTATTTGTATGTAGTTATAGAAATAATAATTAAATATCGATATAGTGAAATAAACTCGATTAATCATTTATTATTTATATATGTCGGGATTTAACTTTCTTACCGTACTGCAAAGGGAAGACCACGACAATGGGCTGGTTTGTATTAGTCTCAAAATACATGTTTTGGCTTTATATTATATTTTATTTATTTCTTTTATTATGCTCATGTAGGATGCAACTTTGGATGATGAGGTTTCTACACCAATAAAGGTTTTTCAACCTATCGAAAAGGGTGACACTTCCACAACAAAACGGAAGCTTCTGAATGATTTATCCTCAACACCCAATGTAGATCAATCTGGTGGGTCGACAAATGCCGATAGAGGGAAGGGGAAGATTGGGAAACTGGACCCCAGTGGAGTACAATTTGAGGATGTCACTGAAAATTGAAAGACAAAGGCACCATAACATATGGTGTTTTATTTTACTATTTGATTGCTATTTTTTATTCGGCATATTAAATAAGTTTGAATAATTTCTTGATTCGTTTGATTGGCAGCTTTTTTATGGATTTGATGAACAAATTATGTTTATTTTGTTTTATAGTTTGAATAATTTCTTGATTCGTTGGATTGGCAGCTTCTTTATGGATTTGATGAACAAATTATGTTTATTTCGTTTAAAGTTCTAAGATGAGTAAGTTTAATGTTTTTTATGTTCTATATTTATATATTTGTCACCTTATTAGATGGCAATAAATATAGGTTATGATGATTCTCCAAATATATTATGGTGGTGATAATACATTTTTTATTTCTTATACTTAAACCCCAACTTTGTTTAATATATTCAGCCCAAACTCAATTACTGTCAGGTTTTGGATATAATTATTAATTATAAATAATAAATAATAATTATATCTTTAAAAAATTATATATTTATGTTATTTAAATCTAAGTTAAAAAATAGATGTGTATCGTATAATTTCACATTCATATAAGAAAAAAAATATAAAAACGCATAAAATTTACCCGTAGTATCTATTATTACCACACTCGGCTATAATTTTCCTTTTTTATATATTAATCTTACACAATCCATAAAGATTGTGTTCATACTAATCTTTGTTATAAATACCTTTTTTAATTTACCTATTAATTTATGTTGTTCAAATTATGGAAAGATATCAAATATTTTTTAATATTACAATTACAATCTTCTAATTGGGGCAAAAATACTTTTAATGTGCTTCTCATATCGTTTTTAAATCGTCTAAAAGAATATCTAATAGGATAAGTATCTCCTAATATTCTATACAAGATATGGAAAATTTGTGCATATCTTTTAAACTTAATACTTATCTAATCCCTTACATACACAGAAACATAATTTATAGTTCAATTTCGTGCGAGCATACATGTTATATGAAAAACATCACATAGTAATTGCCAACTGAATCACCATACTCATTCACATTCATAATCAGAGATTGTAACAAGTAATAGCACAAGATAGAATTGCGTAAGCATATAGAGATATTGAGTGGCAGTTTCGGATGATGATTAACACATTTTTCCATTGTATGTGGCAAAGAATACTACACAAAGCTTGAGACAGTCGTATATACCAAGTATGTGTTCACATTTATATTCTACTATATTTGTAGTTTAAATATAATTTGTCATCAGAGAGAGTGGATAAAAAAACCTTAAGGTGTATACTAAGTTTTGGTTATTCATAATTAATGTTTTTACTTGATATTTGACAGATTATATAGAGTACTTCACGAAGGTTGATTACTGAATTTGAAGACCAACAACAAGAACATACAAAGATGCAGAATGATAAACCTTTCAAGTACAATGGAAAAAGCAGTAAGCAGAGCAACAGAGATATGGGCAAAGAAAACGTAAACTCAGGTAATGAAGTGTAAAAGAATAAAATACATACCTCTCTTCCTATGTTGTAGCCCACCAGATTTCTTATTTCAGCCTTACCTTTTACTTACCTTTGCGATCCACTTCATTCTCAGCATGCATCATTCGTGTGAACAAAGAAAACATTACGTGTAAGTGTTAAATTTCATAAATATAAGGATTTGTAAAGTTCAAATTTTTTTGTCCATATGTGTATTAAACTTTTCCAATATTGTAAAACAGAATAAAATTTACCCAAAGCTTTTGAATTATATTCGGATTGTCTGAACAAGTTTGTTTTTCAACTCTAATTTTCCAAATGTATAGAAGAACGGTTCTCATTGGGTATGTGAAAACAATCATAAATTAATTGAATTTTTTCGCTGAAATCCTTAAAGAATCGAAGACAAAGGTGGGACTTGGTCAAATTAATATAAAGAGATGATAAAGCTAATAAACAATTTAATACCTTTTTCGTGTTCCCAGCCTTGCGTGGATCTTCTTTAAGACAACCAAACTATCAGTGATGATTTGAGAATTTTGGTAATCATTTGGAAAATTAAACATATTTGATTGTAAAATTATTTACGAAAAAAAAAAGTAATTGAATTAACAATTGAGGAAACGTAAAGAAACTGAGAATCTTCGGCTACAATCTTACCCAATCAAAAAAATCTCCGGCGATGCGGACATTACCCCAACTCTGGTGATGCGGATATTAAGCTTAAGATAACTCTCGCGATGTGGATCTTACCAAAACCCATCAGAATCTGCATGTTTGAGTGTAAAATAATGTAAGAAAAAAAAAATTCAAAGTGATTAAACTTTTAAGCAAAGCTAAAGAAACTGAAACAATCCGGCGATAATCTTACCCAATCAACTCAACCTCCGGCGATGCGGATCTTCCACAAACTCCGACCATGCAGATCTTAAGAGATTCCATACTCTGTCGATGCGTTCTTACCCAAACCCATCGGAATCTTGGTGTATCCGGTGATAATACGCAATTAATAAACGAAAAAAATCCAAAATCGCGAAAAAAACTGAAAAATCGAACATAAAATTACATGATTACCTTACATATGAATCGATATATGTGGAAAAAAAAAACTACAAACAAGAATATCATTTACAACATCATAAGCATATCGATTGCTTCCACAAATTACATCAAATAATAAAATTGAACTAAAAAAAAAAAAAAAAAAAAATGGAGAGAACCAGAAGAAGTATGAAAGTTGGAGCGGTGGAAATGAGGTGAGACACAAACCCTCATTTTCGATTTTTTCGGTTTTTATACTCCTTGTGATGAATAGCTGACCGTCGATTTCCGATCAGATGATCTCCACCGTCCGCTGATTTTCAGTTTAATAAACGGGCCTTTTTTGTGTTAATAAATGGGCCTACCTCATGTTGTTGGGCCAAATAGATAATGAATAATGGACCAGATTGTGTCCAAATTAAATTAATTGTTACATAATATTGTTTTAAATTTTGGCCCACATATAATTTGTTTGAAACATTATGGTGACTAATAGCCCGCACTTGACTACTAATATATTTAGATGTCATAATTTATATACATTGTTATTATTATTGTATTTGTATTTGTATATATATAAATAGATAAATAGATATTAGAGATTTTAGATATTTAACATTGTATGTAATAACTTATTAATTGTAATTGTTATAATAATACTAAATATTAGTCAATTACTTTATTTTATTTAGTAATACAAAATATAATAACATTTGGTTATATGATTGCTTTATATATATATACATATACACACATGTGTGTGTGTGTGTGGATCTATATGATTGCTTTATTTTATAGATGTGTGATTATTTTTGAGTTATTTTTTATTCTTCTATTTTAATAACAGGTGCAAATGACCATAGTAGAACTCCATTTCATAATGTTCTTACAAAAGCACCACAAAATATTATTATTGATCTCACGAGTGAAGGTGACATTGAAAACGATATTGTACCTACTTCAAGTACCACGACACGTGTTGTTAGCAGCTGTACTAATTATGTAGACCTACATCCAAGTACACAAAAATGGAAACCTGGTCGTCCTAGGAAAACACCAATATCGTCAGGAATATCCAGTCAGTTTAATTATGATTGTAATTTTGTTATATATAGTTTTTCTAATTATCATCCAACAATTTCTTTATATAATATTTGTTTCCAGGATCAGATATGATGAATGTGTATGGCCGTCATCTGCACACTCAATCATCGTACAATGTGATGAATAGTTTACGCGATTCACCGCTTTCTGACATAACAAATGGTATGTTTGTTTAAACTCAAAGTATTTGTGAGTTTATAAAATATATGTATATTCAGAATTTTATTTCAAACATATTGACTATATGGAGTATCAAAAAATAAAAAAATGTAAGTAAAATCATTCTTTTTATACAGTGTTGCAGTCCAAAATTGTATCTTCGAGCACCTCAGGTGCGTCAGTCGGTACGTGCATGAACATCATTTTTTGTCTCTTCTATATTAAATTATATATTCTTTTTTGTTTGACAATATAAATATAAATTGTGTATAAAAATACAATTGTTTATATATATTATTGTCTTTTTTATGTCATCAGGACAACATAAGCGTCGTATATTATCTTCTGAGATGCCCACACATAATCCGCCTGATAGCATTTTTATCGATCTCACACTTGATGAGGAGCATATTAGTAATGAGATAACTCATGGAACCAATACTGAAAGTTCTGTTATTGATCTCACACTTGATAGTCCAATTCAACCAAGTACACAGAAAAGAAAACGTGGTCGTCCTAGGAAAACAACTGGATCATCTTCAGCAGTTTCTGGTAATGTTATACGAGTCTTTTTATTGGACAACCAAAAATTTGAACAAAAGTATGATTTCTAAAATTTTTAATTACATAAACATTTACAGAATACTGGGACTTTGAAGATGCAAGTTTTCGTTGTATGTATTGTGGTTCAATGTTCTGGTATGAGGAGAGAAAGGCTTATAATCAAAATGCAGTTGTACCTGAGTACACCATTTGTTGCAAAAATGGCAAAATTGAACTCCCTCTTTTGAAAAGTCCTCCCCAATTCTTGAAAGATTTGCTTCATGGAGATGGCCAATTAAGCAAACATTTTCAGGATAACATAAGATCATACAATAGCATGTTCGGTTTTACTTCTTTAGGAAGAAAGATAGATTCAGATATCAATAAGGGGACTGGGCCACCTGTGTTTCCTTTGCATGGATAGAATTACCATCTAATCGGTAGTTTGCTTCCTTTTGCTGGTGCTTCTCCAAAGTTTGCGCAATTGTATATATATGACACGGAGAATGAAATTTCTAACCGAATGAATGCTGTGAGGTATGAAATTACTTTAATTTATATGAAAAATTAAATCATAAATCTATTCTTTAATTATGTTGTTCATTATATAGAACATTTCTATAGATATCTTTTTAATATTTCATAATACCGACATGTAATATTTACTCATGGATGTATAGGAATGG